TTCGCCCTGATGTGAGAGAACCGGTGAGTTTTAAAGGGGATCATGATTCTTGTTCAGTCCACGAGTGGGAGGCTATGATGTTGTCCTATATGAGAAAGAAAGGCATCCCAGTGGCCGAATAGGCTGATGAGGTTATATCTAAGCTTGGGGATAGGGCACCTGAAGTGGTTAAAGTGGGCATACACAGTAAGCCAGTTTTGAATCTGACTACAAGACCTGAGCCCATTTTTGAGATACTGACGCAGCATTTCAGTGATATTATGTCCTCTAGCTTGCCTTTAGCAGACTTTTAGCCTACCTTACCTCACGCTGACGAACACCCTTTGACTATTGGCTGAGACTTAACAAGGCTCTGGATGTGACGGAGGACTCTTTAAAGAGACCAAATAAAGCTTTTGACTCTATCCTGTGACCTAGTAGCTATGTTTATCCAGAACTGCCCTGACCCTGAACTGTTGCTCATTTTCAAATGTAGGCAGCTGAAAGACTGGATGGTTGCTGACATTCACGAGAAGCTGGTTGAACACTGCAGAGATTGCAAGCAACTAACTAAAAACAGAGTGATAAATGTTCTGTCTTCTCAGCAACAAGAAGTCATATCTTCTGTACAATGTACGGCACTCAGTAGTGAAATAGTGCCTCATGCTGCTGTTGTGGCGCTACCTACTGGGAAGTCAGCCGAGAGCTCACCGGACCGCCTGGACCGGGTCATTACTCTGCTAGAACGTGTTCTGGAGCAGCAGCCACAATAGTCCAAGTTTCACAGTAAGTTCAATGCGCACACACAGAAGAACGAGTCAGCGACGGCAAAGCCTGTAGAACCTTGTGCTGTGTGCAACAATGATGGACACACTACTCGGTATCAGTGCAGGTCAAACCATCTGTGCTTTAACTGTTTTGCACTTGATCACCTGCATGCAGATTGTCCAGGGGATGGAGTAAGAAAGCCTAGGAGTACAAAGCAGGTGGTGCAGCCGTAGGAAAACTGATTGGCCTGCATGGGGTGGGGGCAAGTGTTGGGCCTAAAAATGATACTATTGAAAACCAAGCTAGAACTTGGTGATATTCATATATCTTTTTGAAACCACAAATGACAAATCTATCATAAACGTGCAGTAAATAAGAATTTATGGAGGAAACACAAACTTTTCTGGCCCTCTCAAGACCTCCCTGTTACATGTGTCCACCCTGTTAACTTGGAAAAACTGTAAGAGGGTGGACAGTAACGGGGGGACCTTTTCAGCTAAAGTTAAATATTCCTAGTCCTATAATAAAAACAAGCTAGTACTCGGTGATCACTGAGTAAGATTTTTTATGTATTTAATAACAATACCTTATAAAACTATATAAAATATTTGTTTTCAATATAAATAATGGTAACAGCGTGGACATGTTATGCTTTACCACTCAATGAAACAGTCTAAAACACAGAAAAATGTTAAAATAAAAAGTGATACTTATTCTGTTTCTTGTAGATGCCCCCCCCCCCCCCCCCCCCCAAAAAAAAAGGTCTTGTACTTTCTGTGTGTCATGTAACTAAAGAAGTGGTTTGGAGGGAGAGGGGGTGACAGGTATTTTAGAGTAACAGGGTGGACATTTGATTCAGGGACAGTATTGTTTTTTTTTAATTATTTAAGCATTAAAAGCATTTTAAGATCATAAAAATTAAATGGATGAGAACTAATATAAATAGTTCTATTAAAAACTATTTATTTTTTCTATTACTACTTATAATTGTAACTTAATTTCAGGAAGCATGAAAGGGGACGTGGTAGTAAACACAAGCTGTATTTAAAATCAGATTTAATTATTTTATATAAATTCATCTTGGGTACATATGGTTATTTTATATGGTAGAGGAGACTCAAACATATAACATGGGATTAATAAAATAAATATTACCCTACCTTTAAACAAAATATACCGCATTATGACATGGGGACTCAAAAGGCACCGAATAGTAGGGATGACCCAAATCCTATAAGCTTGGGATGGCTTGGGTTTCCTGGACTGTTCCTTATCCTATGCTTCTATAACATTATACTACTGAAGAATAAATTGACCACATTGCATCAAATAAACACAAATGCATACAGCTGAATAGTTTGTATTTGTAATTGCTCTTTCTTAACATGCAACTTTTTAAATTTTATTTTTTTATGTCTTTCTTCCAAGAGTAAACCTGAAGGTCTCCATCCTGGACCCGTCACCGTGTTTGTTTTCTCATTCATTTCCTCAAACCAGCCGGTCGAAGCAGATGGCCGCTCGTCCTGATCCTGGTTCTGCTGGAGTTTTTTTCCTCATGACTGAGTTTTTCCTTTCCACGGTTGCCTCCGTGCTTGCTCAGAATGGGAGACTGTGATGAAGTGAAAACTCAAAGCAGTCTGTTGGCTCCTTAGATAAATAACGTATTAACTGACTTTATGCATGTTAGTGTTTCAGTAAGTGCCCTGTGATCACTTCTGTTGTGACTTGGCGCTATATAAAAATAACTGAATTTGATTGAAATTGATTTATTACCTATTGATTACTGGTCTATTACCTATTGATTATCTGTATAGTACCTGTATGTTACCTATAAATTACCTATAAGTTTCTGTATATTACCTATAGATTACCTTTTGATTACTTATATATTACCTATGGATTACCTGTATAATACCTATAGGTTTCCTGTATATTACGTATAGATTACCTGTATACTACATATTGATTACCTATTACCTATAGATTACATGTATAGTACCAATAGATTTCCTGTAGATTACCCTCTGATGGTGTGTGATGCTCTGCTGGTCCAACAGAGTACAGTGAGAAGACCCAGGAATGCCTCATCTTCCCTATTTGTATAAAGCCCCCAGTATACTCCCGCGTCCTGTCAGCCGCGCAAAAACTGTGCGCACTGTGCGCAGACGGTTGAGACTTCATACTCGGGCATCCACCCTGAGCGGCTGCAGTCAGCTCCGCAGGCAAGGGGTGTTTACCTTCGGGATAAATTGAGTTTGCCGATTGGTCATTTGCTGACATGCTTATTGAATTGATTGACAGGTCAAAAAAAAAAAAAAAAAAAAGAGCTGGCAGCCCCAGTGCAGCGGTGTTCTGTGTTTATATGTTGTTAATAAAAAGTTCTAAAAAAAATTTAAAAACAGTGTTCTGGTCCTGCAGCTCACACACCAGATCAGCCCACCAGGAAATCTCCAGACCCTCCTGCAGCCACGCTGGACCTGAGTTTAATTCGCTCGTGACAAATTCCTTCATTTCTCACAGTTTCAGTCATGGCTTCAACAGAGGAGGAAGAGATCACTGCCTCTTGGCAAAAAAAACCAAAAGGCCAGATCAGGGATGAAGAAGGGGAATTTAATACATTGGTGTCGCATACAAAACAGTCCGTGACTGGGCAGTTTATTGTGTGACACCAAGTATGTGTACGCGGTCGTAAAAATTGAGCTTTGCGCGGACATGCCCTGCGGGCGTCCGCTTTAACTCTAAAGCCCCCAGTATACTCCCGCGTATGTCAGTCTGCAGAGATCCTTGCATACTGGACTAGAGTCTAAGTGGACGCCCGCAGGGCATGTCCGTGCAAAGCTAAATTTTTACGACCGCGTACGCGTACTTGTTGTCGCACAATAAACTGCCCAGTGACAGATTGTTTTGTATGCAACACCAATGTATTAAATTCTCCTTCTTCATCTCTGATCTGGCCTTTTCTTTTGTTTTTTTGCCAAGAGGCAGTGAACTCTTCCTCCTCCGTTGATGCCATGACTGAAATGGTGAGAAATGAAGGAATTTGTCATGAGCAAATTAAACTCAGGTCCAGCGTGGCTGCAGGAGGGTCTGGAGATTTCCTGTTGGGCTGGTCTGATGTGTGGGCTGCAGGGCCAGCGCTCCGTTTGTTTTTTTTTAAGAACTTTTTATTAACAACATATCAACACAGAACACTGCTGCGCTGGGGCTGCCAGCTCTCTGTTTTTTTTCCCCAACCTGTCAATCAATCCAGTAGGCGTGTCAGCAAATGACCAATCGGCAACCTCAATTTGTCCCAAAGGTAAATGCTCCTTGCCTGCGGAGCTGCTCTGCAGCCGCTCAGGGTGGATGCTCGTGTATGAAGTCTTAACCCTCTGTGGACAGTGCGCACAGTTTCCGCATGGCTGACAGGACGCGGGAGTATACTGGAGCCTTAATCTGGTACACGCAGACCTCTGTGGACTGACGTATGCGGGAGTATAATGGGGGCTTTACCTTGCTTCACAGGGGCAAAGCCAATCTTCAGTCCTCAACAGGTGAGAGGAAGGCACACCTGGATAATTCAGCAGTTCACCACAGGGCCAATGCTCAGAGGTTGTGCTAAAATACATTTCAAAATCAATATTTCTACCATAGGAACTGGATTATTGTTTATATCTCAATGCACAGAATTATTTTGGTTCTGTTGAACTTTATCAGGTCCGTTTTGTTCTGACGCATCGTCATGCAATTGTAGAATAAACTTTCCTGAGCTCTGTTAGTGGCTTTCAGCTGTATTCAAACATTGTCACATCATTCTGCTTTATTTGGTTTAACCATGAAGGGTCCATCTTTCCTGGCTGGGTTCTCTGAAGACCCCTTCAGGAGAAAACAGACCACACACCTCAAAAAGCTTTTAATGTCAGACAAATGAAGGTTTATAAAATAAGCACATTACAGATGTTCAGTCTGAGAAAATCTGAACTAATCACTGTTTGGAACAACTCAAAACATTTTCAGGAAATTAAAATATTAAATTATGTTCAAATCCAGACCCTTTGTCATGATAACAACAGGAAACTGGTTTTCTGTTTATCATCAAAACTACACTACCCATAATCCCCTGCATGACCGATCAGGAAACGACACACCGTCCTGGCCAAAATATAATCAATAAATATTTGTAACTGATAACTACTGTAGATGCAGAATAATTCTCTCTCAGAGCTGACAGGGCATGAGAAAGGGGTGGAGCCACAACTGGGTTGAGCAGCCAATCAGAGCAGCTCGTACTGCCGTAGGTGCATGCGCTGGATGATATCACGACAGTCATTGAAGACACGGCGGATGTTTTCTGTGTCCACAGCACAGGTGAAATGAGGATAACAGTAATGTTTACCATCACCGCTTGCTGTGCTGATCCTCTGAAAGAGCAAACATGTTGGATTCAACACGTGTGGATAAGCATGCCAGCTTCAACATGGCTAGTTTAAGATGTTACATTCAGTATATTTTGGCTTAACATCCAGATTCAACATGTTAGAATCATTATGTCTGGTTTCAACAAATATGCACGTTAGATGCAGTCAATCTAGTATAACACATCAGTTTCAGCATGGCTAGTTTAAGATGTGTTAGTTAACTTTTTTTTTTTACATGTAAATGTCTACAACTCATCCATCATATATTTTTACCAGGAACTCGTCTCTGATGAAGAATTTGGCCCTGGTCACTTTGGGGTTTTCATCAGCATCTGGAACAGCTGGAGAGAAAAAAAAAAGTACTTTACATTGAGTACAGAACATCTTCCATGCTTAGTAGTACGTACATGTATGTCAATGCATGTTTGTAATATTTTTACCATCAACAGGAACCTGGTAGTTTTTATATTCTGGAAAATAATCTTCCAGCTTAGATTTTCCTGCCAGAATCTTATCAGCCAGAACATCCTGTTTGTTCAGGAACAGAATCACTGAGATGGTCTTCAGAAACCTGCAGCCAATCATAGAGTAGAGCGTTATCTTCAGTCACTCAGCATGTTCTTCTTCTTTCAGCTACTTTCTCTTCAGAGGTTGCCACAGCTAGTCCTCCTCCATCTCACTCTGTGAGCCTCTCTGACAATGGACAACTCCCCACCTCTCTGTGGTAAGAGGCACAATGCTGTTTCTGTGCTATGATTGGATTGTTAAGTCATGCTTCTTCCAACTGAGGCGGCTGTCTAAACTGAAGCCCATAATGTCCAAAAAGAACCTGGAGACAGTAATACATGCATTCATTACATCTAGGCTTGATTACTGCAATTCGCTCCTGTTTGGTATCAGTCAGACCTCCATTGCACGACTACAACTGGTCCAGAATGCAGCAGCCCCATTTTTAACCAGTACAGGCAAAAGAGAGCACATTACACCAGTTTTGGCCTCCCTGCACTGGTTACCAGTTCACCTTCGAATCCAGTTCAAAATACTCCTGTATGTCTACAAATCGCTGAACAGTCCCCCCATCTCTCTGATTTGCTACAACCGTATGTCCCACCACGTTCACTGGGGTCAGCGGACCAGTTGCTCCTCACAGTTCCAGGAACTCGTCTTAAGTGCAGAGGTGACAGGGCCTTCTCTGTAGCAGGACCAAGACTTTGGAACGAGTTACCTCTGCTTGTCAGACAGGCCCCCTCCCTCTCGATTTTCAAGTCCCGTTTAAAAACTCACTACTATTCAGTAGCTTTCAACACCAGATGATCTGTGTTTGATCCTGTATGCTCCACACTGGTTTGTCGTCATTATCTGCATCGTTTTTATGTCTATATTCTGATTTACCTCATTTTGTATTTTGTTTTGTGTGTTACCTGTTGTTCTGTCTGTACAGAACTTTGGTTGGCCTTGTTGCTGTTTTAAATGCTCTATAAATAAAATGGTATGGTATGATGAGCTCTAAACCCTGACTGAAAGTCTTCAGATCTTTTTTTTTGTAGATGATCACGTAACGGACCAGCAATGATTTTCTCTACAATTTTTGAGCTGAGAGTTAGATTAGTTATAGGTCTATAATTGGCTAGGATTTTTGAGTCAAGGTTATGTTTCTTAAGTAAAGGTTTAATTACAGCAACCTTAAAGCGCTGTGGTACATAACTGTTTATTAGCGACAAATTAAGCAGATCCAAGATGTGGTTATTAATTAAGGGAAATGTGTCTTTAAACAGTCTGGCTGGGATGGGATCTAACAGACATGTGGATGGTTTGGCTGAGGTTATTATTTTTGACAATTCACAGCTCAACAGGACAAAAACTGTCCAACCATAAATCAGGCTCTAGTGACATTTTTAAAGTTGTCTCATCTGACATGGAACCAGAGGTGATAGTGGGAAGGTTGGTTTGAAATTTTCCCCTTAATTGAAATAATTGTATTCAAAGAATTTCATGAAGTCATCACTGCTTATAAATGTAGGGATACATGAATCAACAGAGACAGGATTTTTCATTAGACAGTCGTAATTTTTCATTATGGTACTGAAAAGGAACCAGGGGTTATTTTTATTCTTATCAATTAAAGATGAATAATATAAAGTTATAGCTTTACGGAGAGCTTTTTATAAGTTAGCAGGCTATCTCTCTGAGATAAGTAACATTCTTCAATGTTAGTGAAGAATTCTTCAGGCAACAAAAAAGGTTGAATCATGTCATCTGGACTTCGTTTTTTTTGTTAAAAAGAAACGTTTCGCCCCTCATCCAAGAGGCTTCGTCAGTCTGAGGCCTGACGCCAGTCTGAGGTTTTTGAAACCATTAGTTTCAAACGTTTCTTTTTAACAAAAAAAAGAAGTCCAGATGACATGATTCAACCTTTTTTGTTGTTATATACCTGGATGACTGAGAAAACAAACTTTG